CTTTAAAAAAAATTAATTTTTTTTAAAGAAATTTTATATATGAAAAAGAAGTTTTTTAAAGATTTCTCAAGAACTACCAAGCTAATTTTAACATTCTTACTACTATTATATACTTCTTGATAAGCTTTACAATTTTTGTTACAAGCCCAAAAGTGATTTACTTAGTAAAAAAAAGTTTTAGATAGACACGCACCACATTCAGGCTTATAGTAAAATTTATATATAAAAAAAAATATATATATTTGTTCAGATAACTTGTGATTTGCCAATTAAATGATATTTTTGATCTACATAAAGACTGTCTTAAAATTATTTATGACCACAACATTCTAATCAAAAACAAATTAACGTTATATAATTTTTTAATAAATGATGCTATTGAAAATAAAAAAAATTGATAATGTATTTAATTATTTAAACATTTTTAAAGATGATGCTAGAGGTACAATTAACGAAGGTGAAGCATATTATGCTACAGGTAAATGAAATTAAAACATTTTTTATCAATTAAAACAATGAATCATACTGACAAGGCTTTTTTGTTTTATGATTGTATTGCTATTTGAAATGGTCCTATTTGAGTATCTTTAATTCAGGATGCACATGAAGAGTTTGTAGACATTAATTACATCATTTCTTTAAATTCTTTTGGTTTTTTGTAGTCGATTTCAAAATCAATTATTTTTTGTTTTTTTTGTTAAAGATTTATTAATACTAGATTTTGATTGTCTCTTTTTTTCTTTTTTGACTTTAATTTCAAGAAGTGATTTATGACATAGTTTTTTTGTAAAAAATTCATCACTGTCAGATTCTTCTATTGGTATTTTTTGTTCCTTTTTAACTTTAATATCGAGAAGTGATTTATGATATGGTTTTTTATTTGAAATTTCAAGTATCGATTCATAATGTTTTTTTTCTCTTTTCTGATCTCTATACAGGTTTGGTTTTTATTTTAGGTTCATAATTTATAACCGACTTCGACTCAATTAAATCTGGTTCAATTTTAATTTTAACAATAGGTTCAGGATAAAAAAAAATTGCGAGAATATTATCAGATATATACCAGTTCCTTTAGAAGTTTTTGTAAGTTTTTTTTTGATTATATTTTTATATTTTTACATACAAGTGCAAATACGCATATTTGCACAGTTGATATATTGTAATCAACAAGAAAAATGATACAATTGTATTGTTGGAAAAATAATTCGTCAGACAAATCATTTTGGGACCATGTTTTAATGCTTTGTTTATTGGTAGAGACCTTTGCAGGTTGATGATAAAAATTTTTATGTGCCGTTTGCGACAACTGAAAGTGCATTGATCACGTTGATTAATAATGGTGCGAAGCTTACATACAAGAATAGGATATGAACCAAAATTATTTCACAATGACTAGAGTGCCACTAATAAAATATATTAGTATTGATATTAAGCAAATAAATGATGTAAAGTTATGGTTAGATCAAAATTATAAATTAATAAAAAAAGTATTTGAGTTAACGTCAAAATATATAATACTTCAAAGTATAAAAATTTATATAATCGTGAATATGTTGTATGTTAGATTTCACACTGATACTGATAAAGCAATAGGATTAAATATGATTAGTAATGGTTGTGAAAAAGTGTTGAAGTTGGTTAAAGAAAAATTTAAAAATGTGTTGATAATATTGAGTGGAAATATGTATATGGATAAGAAGTTGTCAATGGTTAATATATTGGATGGAAAAGAATATTGTATTATGTCAAAAACCATTATAAATAAAAGTGTAGTTAATATGAAAAAAATTGTGGAGATAAATATAGCAAATAATATGTACGGAGGAGCATTAGCAGGGACTACAGAAGGATATAACGTGCATGTTGCAAATATAATTGCTAGAATTTTTATAGTATTTGGACAAGATATAGTACAAGTTATTAATTTATCAAATTGTTTTACGATCATGGCAACATTTACAAAAAGTTCGGAAGTATTTGAAATTCTTGAACTATTTGATCACAAATTCTTGATTAAAAATTTCTGTTTGACCGATTTGATCTGATACTTTACAATCCAAAATTTCATATTTAATATATTAATTTGAAATCATTTTATTTAACCAAAACAAATTTTATTTATATTGTATAAAGAGTTGAAGTATTATACGAACACAATATAGCTGAACTAGATATATCACATGCTATTGTTATTAATAACAATGAACCAGAAAGTTCAAAAAATCTATCACCAAAAGATCAAGATTCAGATTTAAAAAACAAAACAAAAAACCTTAAAAAAGAGGATGATATATTTAAAAGCACAGGGTTGCGTCTGATGAGAAAAGAAGAAATTTGTTTATCATCTGCGTTCCTTCATACTCAACAATCTAGAAAAGTATTTTTAGTAAAATAATTTTGTCAAACTAGTTGAAGATGCATATTAGAGTTGATCAAATGTAACATTTAGGTTAATTAGAATAATTGAATAAATTTGTTCGAAATGAATAAATTGTTTCTAAAATGTAAATCTTTACAACAATATTAAAATTTGTTTATTAAAAGGTTTTTTGATCTAATTTGCAAAATCATATACATGATGAGAGATAAATTTAATTA